TGAATTTTTATTGAGAAAATTTTGCAAAAACAGAAAATGAGGTGGTGTAGGCGGCCACCTCTTCCAAGAATGGTGTAGATTTTAATATTTGGACGTCCTGTGCGTGGGCATTGAATCCATCACCAGTATTTAAGTAACTTAATGGGCACTGACAGGGATATTTTTTTTTTAATTTCTATGTTAAAAATCTCTGTATTGTAATTCATTATTCAGACATTGTAATTTTTTTTTACATACATACTTGTCTTATATATAATATGTATATGCAACTTTATTTAATATACAATAATTTTCACATATTTGAGCTAATACTTATTTAGTATAATGACTTGTTACTTACATATTTACATGTTTGTATATACTTATTGGTTTGTACGTTCATTCATCTATGTATTTGCATAAAAGCTTATAATAATTATTTGAATTCTAATTCAAAAGTAAAATTTATGACGATTGAACATCTATAATTTGATTAATCCTTCATCCTTACATACATATACAGATACATATATATATATATACATCCAACTGCACTAAAGGAAACTATTTTAATCCGGCCGTTTCATTGATAACACTGTTCAACAAAATCGATTTTTTTTCTCACGTAAAAACTTTTCTCATATTTTAAATGTATTCGGGCCACTAATATCAATGTAAAAATATATGCAAATCAGGTTTTATTGTGATATCAAAACATATATTCTCAGAAAAAAAAATACAACAGTCTATACTTAAAAAACTGTTATTCCCTAACTTACCATATATGCTTTGGATTTTTGTAAATATTTGTCTTTTGGTAAGTCTCTTAATTCTCCTAGCATTCCTGGACTTATTTTCCTTCGAAAAAGCTTTTCCATTAAGAAAATGCCCTAATGGAACCTTTCGATTTCATCTTGTCCGTCATTCGCATCCAAACTTGCCGGAAAGAAATATAAATGAGTGTCCAGTACATGTATTTTAAATGATATGTTACAACCCAATGTTTTATATGACTTTTTAAGATCATTTGTTAATTTTTTATGATTTTCTAATTTATGGTTGCAAAGAATGTTCTCGATGTCATTCAAAAAACATTGCAATTTTTCATGAGCAGTTTTCATTAATTATCAGTTGTCGTGTTTTTGAAGTTGACGGTCCATAACTTGGATTCCTATCTTGAGACACCGTATGGTACTGGCTTAGCACGAATTCTTCACTATAAAACGGCTTTTCCGATCGATTTGGTGGCTTTGGTGCAGGCAGGTCAGCCCTATGTAGGATGTGACTTTTGGTCGCACTCAAGTTGTGATAATGGATAGCGTGTTTTTTACTTAGTTGTAATACATTTTGTTTGCGTTAAAAATAAAAATAGCAAATCACTTACGTAATCCTTTCGTTCCGCCCATGTCATTGACATAGCAAATCGCAAAAGTCGAGGTTATTGTTTAGTCGCCCAACTTACACAGGTTGAACAGCATTTATGCGGAACCCAAGATGGATCCATAAGCTCTTCCAACTAAGCCACACTATTAATGTCTATGGTCTGGCATTGTCGTAATAAAATACAATTCTCCTCCTGTTTGGCTAAAGCTGGACGATTGATTTATACAGATGGTCCGCTTGCTGACATTGGACCTGCAGTGTTTAGCCGTAAGTAAGCAGATTTTAGTGGATGATTCCTTGCAAATCCCAATGAACACATAACAAAACCTTTCTGGTCGTCAATTTTGATTTGGAGAACTTTGTGACGGCGCACTGTCCTTCGACGGCGGCTGCGCAAGTAATCCACTTTTCATCACCACTTTCATCCGATTTTGTTACGATTCAGCGGCGATTCGCAGATGGAAATTTGGTCCATGAGGTTTTTTCTCGTTAACTCATGTGGCATTCATACATCGAGCTTCGTTTATGCTTAGCTCTTGGGCAATCGAAGCAGCGCATAGGGGACATTGTTACTGTATTAGGACCTTTGTTGTATGATTTCCTTGTTCGCTTTAATGGAAAAAAATGGTAGAATATAACATATTTTCTCTGTGCTGGTGTACCTCCTTGATCTCCCATATAAAATGTCAGTTATGAATATGTTTTTGTCACAAAAGACTGGTTGCGATTAAATCCAAATAATTATACATTTTCAATGAGATTCCACCGACATAAACAAAAGTCATTAAAAAGTTCGTGTGACAAAACCCATGTTTAGCATTATAATATAACAAACTTACATACATACATAGATACATACAAAACATACATAAATTGCATATTCGTTAACAAATCCTTAAATGTTTTTGTAAAATGTGAACTTCGTTTTATGCGTCAATAATAACATACTCGCACATACATAATTAATTGCTTGAATACCGTTGATTTATTTATTTTTTTTTTTAAATTTTATTTTACTTTAATTATTACATATGTGTTTTTGGTTCCCCAAGGGGCAGATGTACTTTCTGCATTTAGAAACTATCAAACTACTAGGCTTGATGGCTCGCGGCCTCGTGGCGCCTGTAAGTTTTTTTGCCAACACTACTACTTTTCCCAAAATCTTACCTTGATTCATACGAGCAACAACCACAACAACAACAAAGAAAAACTAATCTAATTAATCATAAAATACATCCATATACATATACATAAATAGATACATACATACATACATAAATCAATAATTGAAAATTATTTTTGAAAACCAACTGACCATCACCATCATACACTCTTAACAACACCAGCATTGTGTTTAAAAGAAAAAAAAGTTACGGCGACGCTACTAATATTCATTGCCATTTTATAGGTTGTTATGCTATTGTAACGCAAGAACCAACAACAACTGCAAATCAATAATAATTTTCATTATCATTTACTATAAATCTTTTATTATATTTACCTATATTTTTTCTACCCATTTCATATATCTCTTTTCTTATGTTTTCATTCTACGCGCTCGCTTCCCTACTTTCATTTGCTTTGGATAAAAAAAAATCAAAAATCAAAAATCAAAAATCCAAAATCAAAAATAAACAAACGGAATTGTAGTAAGATGCACTTACAACGAGGCTGGCGCCAAGGAGCACATCATAAATGTTCTCATGGAGTTCGTGCTCGGTGATAATCCCAAAATTGTGCTAGACAAATTGCAACAGGAGGGCAATACGGCCACAGTTTGTGGTAAGGTATTCAAGAATGGCGAACCCACATACAGTTGTCGCGAGTGTGGCATGGATCCCACTTGTGTGTTGTGCGTGAATTGTTTCAAACAATCGGCTCATCGCTATCACAAGTATAAGATGTCCACCTCAGGTGGTGGCGGTTGCTGTGATTGCGGCGATGAGGAGGCATGGAAGAAGGATCACTACTGTGAAGAGCATTTGGTGAGTGGAATTACTATTTAAATTAATAAATACTGTTAAAATAATAATAATGAATAACTGTTAAAATAGGTTTTAATAAGATTTTACAAGCCTTAAGAGCGAGCAGTTCTATGTTAAAGTGAACTAGTTTTAAAAGTCTTGGGTGTGCGCACCCAAAATCTACTTGTTGGACCAACTTACTTACCTATATAAAAAAGCAGCTAATAATCTGAAATTTGGTATTAAAATGAAAATTGTCAAAATCGGTGGACTATAGCATAGAGCTCCCATATAAACGATTTGATCAGATATGAGGTTTCGGGTAAAGCCCCCACCAAAGAAAGCATCAAGCGCATACAATTTGATATTATAAATTCTCGGAGGACTAGATCATAGAGTTCCCGTACAACCGGCCCCCACCAAAGAAAGCATCAAGCGCATACAATTTGGTATTATAAATTCTCGGAGGACTAGATCATAGAGTTCCCGTACAACCGGCTTGTTCCGAGCATCTAAAAGCTCGAATCCTTGCTTTCTCTTGGCGATCTAAATGTTCGCTCTTCGTTTAATTAATTTCATTTGTCATGTCATATTATAGAAATGTGTTCCTATGTTGTTGTTGTTGGAGCGGTTCGCTAACCCCGCTTAGGCACAGGTTTGTTCAGTCTAAGTCGCCGAGGTCATCTAGTGGTAGGTCCAGGAAATGAGCTGTTTCGACGGGGTTGGACCAAAGGGAGAGGGCGTTAGATGAGTGGGTTTGAGGGGGCATGTGAAGAGGTGCTTAGTGTCGTGCGGGACTCTCCACTTGCCGGGCCTACATTAGGTATGCTGGGGTCTAGTCTGGATAGGTAGGAGTTTAACCTGCTACAATATCCAGACCTGAGTTGTGTCAGGGTCACGCGGGTCTTTCGAGGCAGCTCGAGCTCGTTGTCTGCTATGGGTGGTGGTATTTCTCCGAGTACGCCATTCACTGGAAGGGAATCCATGAAGGTGTTGACTGACTTCTGGTGAATGGCGCTCAGTGCTTGTCGATACGCCGTCCTGTCCAGCGGTTGTTGTGTGTGTTGCTGGATTGTGTCCTTAAAGTCTAGTACTCCCTTTCTGATGTGCCTAGGTGGAGGTTCAGCTTCTATTAGGTGCCTATTGGGATGCTACCGTAGCATAGATGCTTCCCTGTGCAAGTGATGCTCCGGCGACATCAGGAGGTTTCCTGTCGCAGTCCTGAGGGCGGTGTTTTGGCAAGCCTGTAGCGTCTTCATCTGCGTCTCGTTCGTCCCCGGCGTCCAGATCGGTGCAGCATAGTTTACGACCGGCCGGCCAATCGCTTTGTAAATAGCCAGCAAAGTTTCTTTATCTTTACCCCAGGTGCTGCCGGCTAGCGCTTTGAGTATTTTGTTGCGGCTCTGGAGTTTTGCGGCAATTGCGGTCGTATGCGGAGTGAAGGAGTGCAGGCTGTCTAGAGTTACTCCCAATATTTTTGGGTTATTTATCGTCGGAATTTTTGTGTCATCGACCTTCACATCCAGTTCAAGCCTGTATTCCTTCGTCCAGCTGGTGAAAAGGGTAGCCGAGGATTTTGTCGGTTGGATTCGTAATTGTCTTGCAGTGTAGAAGTGTTCATCCACCTCATCCACCTCGGTTAGAAATGAGTTCCTATCCTAATTAGTGGTGTCTCAATGTTAGTTTTTTCCAACAAATGCCAGTTTATCCTTACTCGATGGGTGATGAGTTTTTACGAGGAGAATTTCATGTTAGAAATACCCTCGGTGGGTTTGACATTACCAGCCGGGGGGGATAATTTGCAAAACTAATTTTTCTATAATTTTGGATGTTGTTGAAACCAGGGCTCCAACCCACGCCCACAGAGTGCTAACCACTCGGCCATTATATTGGCCTAGTCGCAAAGCAAATTTCGGTAAAGAAAATTTTTTTTCTTAAAATTTCTCCGAGTAGTTGAACATTAATTTTTTTTCATTTTTAATCGAATTTAATTGTTTGTCCTTGCGTGAATAAAAAACATGTAGCTTAAAAATATTAAAATTTATTTTATTTAATATTTTTTATTTATAAAAAAGCTCGTTATGATCAAAAGCGGCGTATACTAATTCCTAATCTAAATGCTTTTTGTTCGCGTTACGTCTTAAAGCTGAACTCCACGTTTCTAGTCCCCCTTAGATATTAATATATCCTTCCACAAGCATTTTTAGTATGATTAAGCCAATGCCAAGCCGTTTTATTCCCATTTCCTCATAAAAATATTATACAACTTTTGCTAATTAATAATTATCTATATTTCCAGCGTGGCAAGGAGAATCCCAAAGGCAGTACAATTATAACTGACGCCATCAAAGAGCGTTGCGAATTGGCTTTCACTGCGATTCTTACGTTTAGCGTAAATTTCCTGGAAATCGAACCCAATGCCAGTCTCGAGTGTTTGGATGGCGATGTGGATGATGGGGAGGAGGCGTGCTTTTGCACCGTGCTCTACAACGATGAATCGCACACATTCGATCAGGTTATACAAACTTTGACGAAAATCGCCAAGTGTCGGCAAAAGGACGCTATGGAAATTGTAGCGAGTATCGATCGTGAAGGTCGTGCTGTGGTGAAATGTGATACGTTTAGCGAGTGTCATCAATTGCAAGAGGCCATCGAAAAGCAGGGGGTGTTATCATTATCCACTTTGCAAACGGCACGTGCTGCTCAATCATTACGCGTTTCAGTGCTAAATATACGCGCTGTCGCATGCCAACAATTAGCATTACAATTACTCACTTGGTTTCAGGAGTTTCTCATTAAACATTGCGTTTTCCGGCAGATATTCGCACGTCTGATAATGGATCGCAAAGCACCGTATAGTGTGCGACACATACTCGAATATGATGTTAAGTTGTGGAAGACAGCGCGCACATGTTGGCATCGTCTGCTCATTTCCGGCATGCTAATGGAGTACGATAACAAAAGGGCATTAGCGCAAGAATTCTCCAAACATTATGCATCCGTGGTGCAGGATTTTATACGCGACGATCACGAACATTCATTCTCGATTATATCGCTGAGTGTGCAATTGTTTACGGTGCCAAGCATTGCGCATTATCTAATGGCGAATGAGGGAATTTTTCACAAATTGTTGCACACCTTTTACCATGTAGCCGTGGAGACGTACATTAAAAATAAAACCTTGCAATTTTCCAAAACGGTGAACGTATCGTTTAAACGTGCCGCTTACATACTCTACGATCTACGCTACATATTGAGCTTTAAGCCCGATGTTTGGACAGACCCATTGCGTGAGGGATTTCTAGAGGGTTGCAAGGCCTTACTCAAACTGTTGAACGTAATGCAAGGCATGGAGTCGACAACACGTCAAACTGGCCAGCATATGGACTACGAGCCGGAATGGGAATGCGCTTTCAATTTGCACATCAAATTGGCCACTACAATCACTTTGGTGCTGGACTGGTGCGCCACGGATGCAGCTGTATTGACCAAACTGTATCAAATGGTCATGCGTTATCTCTGCAGCAATGGTTTTATTGTGGATAGCGCCACAAAGCGAGAGGAACGTCATGTGGCCGGACATGTTGCGGAATGTTTCATCTATGATGTGTCATCACGTCCTGTCTCCATACATTTGCCGCTGTCGCGTTTCTTTGCTGGCATATACTTGCACTTGGGCACCTTTGGGCTTACCTTCGATAATGCCGTGGCTGGTAACAAACGTACGCCGGAGGAGATTATAGAACCCATACTGTGTACCCAAACAATGATCGCACAGGTGAGTTAAAAACATATGAAATTTTAGGACTTTCTGAAATAAAAAAAAACCATTGAAATAATTTTACAGGTACATGCGGGTATGTGGCGTCGTAATGGCTACTCCCTTCTACACCAATTATACTTCTATCGTATTGTACGTTGCCGTAGCGAAATGTTGGATCGCGATATTATTGGCTTGCAGATTGGGGCCGCTTTAATAGAAAGCAATCAATATCTCATACATATATTGAATAAATTTAATTTAATTAAATGGATACAATCGGATTATGAAAAGGAGCTAACAGCACAAGCTGTGGAAGACGACTATATGTTGTCCATGATTGAAGAGTTTTTGGAATTGTTAATTGTAATTATTGGCGAACGTTATGTGCCCGGTGTATCGAATGTTACTGAAGAGGATCGTACTAAAAAAGAGATTATACAGCTGCTTTGTAGTAAACCATACTCGCATTCGGAGTTGAATCGTGCTCTACCCGACACATACAATGATACGGCCGTTGAGGATGTGATCGACTCTGTGGCAATTTTCAAGAAACCACAAAAATCAGACGCGAAGGGGGTGTACGAGCTCAAGGAGGAGTTGTACGACGAGTATAACATGTACTTCTACCACTATACCAAGGAGGAGAAATCAAAATCGGAGGAGACACAACGGTCGCGCCGCAAAAGTAAAAATGAACTTGTCTGCTGTCCACCACCAAAATTACCGAAATTGACAGATGGCTTTGTGTAAGTGTAGTTGATTTAAAAGATTTAACATCGACGACATTTTCCTCTTTCTACATTCTTACAGTTCTATTGCTAATCTCTTACAATGTGATGTGATGATGACGATATTGACAACCGTGCTAGATCGGGCTATAGATACGTCTTCGAAAAGCTTTGCAGAGAACCATTTACAAGAGGTAAGTTAGTGCGTTTTAACACTTTTAAAACACCAACTCAAAAAAATTAATTACTTACTAGGCACTCTACCTAATTGGTTACGGCCTACAAGAGGAACAGTCGGGCTATTATCCATTCCTCTCATTCTACGTACAGTCACAAAAATATAATATGCTTTCTAAACTGGAGGAGCTCTCACGCAGCGCACGTGTAAGTGCTACAAGCAATATTTAGTGCAATTTTTTGTATTATATTCTATAATCTCGTTAAGGTTGAGGCTCATCGCGATTTTTTGCTCTGGACAATTAAAAAGTTCAAGGAACTACAAGCTAAAGATAAATCAAACGAAGATGCAGAAGCTTGCAGCATGTCCGCCGATGGCGATCTAAGCGAAATATCACGTCCACTCACCGCAGCTGAGCAGGAGAAAAAAGAGAAGGAAGAACGTGCACGCTTGGCAGCCGAGCGCCGTGCTAAAATAATGGCACAAATGCAAAATGCGCAAAATAATTTCATGAAATCGAATGCTGAAATGTTCGCCAGCGCTAACGTACCAGCGGCTAGCCGTGATTCAACTACCACTATGGAGTGGCAAGATGATGGCACAAATATGGATGAAGAAGGTGCTGTGGCATATAATTCATTGGCCTGTTTGGGCGTTGAACGCCGTCTGCAACAGCCCGAGGAACAGAGCTATAAATGTATACTCTGTTTTGAAGATTGCACAGTTACCAAGGATGGTCCCACACTCGTGTACTCTGCATTCGTGCAGAAATCAAAAGTTTTGACGCCTGATACTAGATATCCATCATCGGTACATACGAGCAGCTGTGGTCATGTAATGCACGTTGATTGCTGGCAAGAATATTATATTAACGAAGAATCGAAAGAGCAACGCCGACCACATCGTAGCCGTCAGCCGTTCCCACAAGCACCACAGAGCACAGAATTTCAGTGTCCCTATTGTCGTTGTCTGAGTAACTCTGTGCTGCCACTAAGCGCGCCACTATCGAAATACTCAATGCCAATGGTTATTCATAAGGGTGACGAGCTGTTCCCCATAGATATGTGGATTGAAGTGATGAAGACGTTGAGCGATGAACTGAATATGCCATCACTGGAAGACAATTTCGAAGATTCTTTGCCGCCAGCGCATACCATATTGTCGCGAGCAAATCTTTGCGCCAACATCGAACAGTTTGAGCGTATTGCACAACCCATTGATCCGGTAGAGTTGCCAGGTAGCTGGAACACTTTCATGCAACGTTACATAAAATCGGTGTGTCAACATGCCCCAACTGAATTCGAAAAGTCCGAAAAAGTCGGTCTACTCTGGCTATGGCACACATGCATCTACACAGTGCAAGCACTGGAAGTTTATCTGCGTGCCGTTAATAAGCCATTTAGTTGCGAAATGTCCATAAGGCATAAAAGTTGCTTAAGTGGACTGATACGTGCGTCGTGCTTAAGTGGCGCCAATTTGAGCTCTGCCGATGTAGCAAGTTTGAAAAAGGCAGCAGCACAAATGTTGGATACAGTCTTCAAGCAGAAGAGCGGCTCGGTGGTGGAGTGGAATTGCTTCAGTATAATGGTGCAAATGATATGCATAGTTCCCAATCTACTTTTCTCGTCTTCGCGTGAGTATTTTTAGTTTTATTCTCGAAATACTTTTTTTTTCTTCATTTTACATTCGTATTTTTTTTTACTATAGACAAAGCTGTGGTGGCCAATGGCAGCATGATGGACTTTTATACAATGCAATTATTATTTATGGCAAATATGGTAAAGGCAATTGTGCTCTTCGAACCGCCCACAACAGACAACGGCATGGCAATGGATGTTGATGAGGAATATGAGCAAGAAGTAAAAGATTTACCACAAAGAATACTCGATAATATAGCCGAATTTTATCGCAAATATAATTTTGCCGCACGTCGACAAGCGCTTTCAACTACACAACAACAGCAAAAACAACAAGCACGACCACAATCAGAAACACAGTCACAGTCACAGTCACAGTCACAACCGCAAACCCCACCTAAATCAGATGAGGCTTCAACACAAGAAACGCAATCAACAGATACAATATCCCTCAATGACGAGGCTACAACGAGCGCACATAGTGTTGATGATAGCATAAAAGTACCGTGCGATTTGAAGACTATTGCTGCACTTTATGAACACATCAAAATGGAAATGACTGAATTTTTGCGTTGCTGCTGTTTGTTCTTCCACTTTGTTACCGACGTAGAATTCCCCGACGAGCACAGCAACGCCAATATGGATAGTTATAAGGGTATGTGTGAATACTTGGGCTTAGAGCATGGTTTGCAGGCATATTTCGATAGTGCTGGTTGCTTTGCATCGATATTAGAGACATTTGCATCGCATCCTGATATAGTTTACTGTGACTTGGTGACTAAAAAGAAACGCTGTGGCAGAGATTTTGCTTTAGTACCCTGTACTTTACCAATACCAAAGTTGGTAGATTTACCTGAAGACTATAGCGATCTTATAAACACTGTTTCGGACTTTGTTTGCCCGAATAGTGAGCGTGAAGAGATGAAAACGCCAACCATGTGTTTGATATGTGGGAAAATTATCTGTGCACAGTCCTTCTGTTGTCAGCCGGAATTAGATGGACGCGCTGTGGGCGCTTGCACTTATCATGCGCATTTCTGTGGTGCAGAGATTTCTGTTTTACTGCGCGTACGTGACTGTCAAATCATCTATTTGGGTCGCAGTAAAGGTTGCTTCGTACAACCACCTTACTTGGATCAGTATGGTGAAACTGATATGGGTCTGAGACGTGGCAATCCATTACGTTTATGTCCAGAACGTTACCAAAAACTGCAGCTAACATGGCTGAGTCATGGTTTGTACGAAGAGATTGCCCGACTTAATGATAACACGTCCGTTGTGCCAACACAGTGGCATCACATGTAGTCGTTTTGGATGCGGCCAACACAACAACGATGTCGTGCGTAGAGTATAAGCGCGACCACGAAATGCGAGGTAGAGAAAGTTGGCAATTGACATAGTATGTGATTTGTGTGTGAGCTAAATGAAACAACTTTAATGGGAATATTTTAGTATAGCTTTTCTTTTGTCTAGTTCTAGTTAAAGAAAAAGAAAAAAAAACACACACATACAATAGAATGCTATTCCCGCTGCGGTTGTATAGATTTGCCTTTTGGTTTTGTAAAGTAATACTATTATTATTTTTTTATTTTATTTATTATGAACTAATTATAATACATATGAATGCAGCGTTAAGATGATGCTCAAGCGTCTGTTAGCCAAAAATACGAAAATCCTGGAGGGCAGTTTAGTTTGTAGTGAATAAGATAAAATCGCAATGCTTTTCAAGATACACAACAACATATAAATACATATACTTTTACCATATACATTATCTGTGACTGTTTGACGTATCTAAAAACAAAAAAAAAAAAAAAATAGAAAACAAAAAGAAGCAAATAAGTTTGGAAATGATGCTAAAATCAATAAATTAAACAAAAACCTAACTGCACACAGTACTTTTCTGGCACTCGTTAGAACTTTCGCTCTATATGCAATACTACTATTTACAAAAAAAAAATATATATATAAAAAAAATACAAAAACAAGAACATGTTAATAATTACAATTTAAATATAACGACAAACAATTGAAGAAACAAAAAATATAAATAAAACAAAAACAATGCAAAATTAAAAATTTTTATTTACACATTGAAATTGTCGGGTAAATTGGATTAAACAATAGTTCTAATAAGGTTTAGGACCGTATTCATAGTAATCCAAATTCTTCGATTTTCTTATTGGAAAATATATATATATATATATATATATATATATCTATACGTATATAATTCAGTAGGTTCCTTGGTTTCTAGTAAAACTGTAAACATTTATACAAGAAAGTAAAATTAATGACTGAGGCTTAATTAGTGTTCCTTGGAATCCGCTCGCTTGAGCGTCGCGAGTCAGTTCGAGCACTTTGTTTACTATGTGAGGGTGGATAGATTCCGAGCGTACCATAGACGTCAAGATGTTAATAAAGCTGTTAACAGACAAAGCAGGGTTAGATTAATTAGGGAGCATGCTAGGAGCTGGTTAGTATCAAGTGGGGTCTTATTGCATGCAATAAAAAAGTTGACTATGTCGGAGCCAACAATGGCGGCCGCGGTAGCCGAGTGGTTAGCACTGCGTACTGACATTCGGAAGACTCTTTACCTAGGTTTATATCCCGGTGCCACCAACATCCAAAGTCATGAAAAACTAATTTAAATACAAAATTAAGTTAAATTTTCTAATTGTGGTCGCCCCTCGGCAGGGAATGTCAACCCTTCCGAGTGTATTTCTTACAATACATGAAATAAAGCTCCTCCCGTTCGGAGGCGGGTTAGTGTAAACTATAGGTCTCTCCAGTTTGTTGGAAAGACATCAAAATCACAAATCGGAGGAGGAGCGTCACACTTGGTATCACTTGGCTCAATTACAATATCCAGATCTTAATTGTCCCAGTATTACTGGGGTTTTTCGCGGTAGTTCGAGCTCTACGACTGCAATAGGTGGTGCTTGGATTCCGAGAACGATATTCACTGGAAAAGGGTTATGAAGGTTTTGACGGACGCTCATTGAATAGCGTTTAAATTCTGTAAGTAAGCAGTCCTGCACTGCAATGTTTGCATGTGGTGCTGAATGGAGTCCTTGTAGTCGAGTAGTCCCTTCCTGATGAGCTTGAGTGGAGGTTCAACCTCGAGTAAATGCCTGTTGGGGTGATACCGCCGGTAGCATTCCAACAGTTATTGTTTGCACAGCATAACATAAACCCGCAACCTTAGAAGTGCTAGTCCCTGGCCTCCAAGTTGGAGCAGCGTAATTTACGACCGGGCGGTTAATTACTTTCTATGTTGGGAGCACCGATTTTTTTGTCTTTTCTCTAGGTGCTGCCGGCTAAGGATTTGATGATTTTGTAACGGCTCTCTGTACTTTAGTGTACTTAAGAAGTTTGACCACAATGCTCCGACCCCGTTGGCAATGAGGAATCCTGAAAAATCTGGTAATTCTTTGGTTTCCGGTGAACATTGCGGGAGTGACAGTCCTTGGCCGGATTAAAAATCCGGGTCGTTGCGGTATAAAAACACCACTGTCGCAGGAACTATTGGATTTAAGTCGCATCTTATGACTGGAATGTCTTACCACGGGTAAATTCTTTAGCCCCTAACCTGCAGAGCTTGAGTGTCTTGCCTTTTTCTGCGGTTATAGTTCATGAAACCCCGTAAAAAGCTTATTACCAAGTGACATTTCGGCTTAACTGCTTTGTCATATATATTCTTTTTGGTTCCTTTCGTCATCTGCTCAAATTCATTCGAAGAGAAGTAGTCATCATATAGAACGTCAACGACTTTTGCAAAGCTCAGGGTAAGTATTTTCAAGTCTCACTCATACCTGCCTCCATGCCATATCCTGTCCCCATCACATCTTTGCCCAGTGCATTTATACTTGACTTGGGCGGTCTTGCGGTCTTAATCCTAGCTACTGTACGGATTATATTCGTATTTGTATTATGATACACAAATCTCCGGTCGGAAGTGACGTAAAATTGTAGATCCTTCCATTTGTTGCGGACCCCTGAAAAATAGCAATAATTTTCACCTCCCCCCCCAACACCAACTGGCTGGTCCTGTATAAATATAAAAGTTGGAAGCTCCATTGTAGGACTGTACGGTTCTGTACATCATATAACTTAACCTTAAACTTTCACAGCCAATTGAAAAGTTCTCCATTTCTTTGAAAAACATGAAGAGGTCGGCCGCAAAATGGGTGAGCGGTTCTAAATTAAAAAGAAAACTATGGTTTATTTGAGCTCTGACATAACCACTGACATTTACGGTTTGTCAAATATTCATACACGCTTTTCAGTTTGCGGGATGGTTAACTTTCGCATCAATCTACATAATTAAGAAATATTTAAAGTAACTCACCTTTGTAACGGACCTTTGTCAGACAAAATGACTCGGCTTATCAAATCCAAATCTTCCAAGAACTGTAGCCTCCTGACTATCAGATGCGATTTCGCTCGCTCAATGGACTGAGTATCGCTTTACAGAGGATGAGCATTTTTAGCAAAAAATCATTCTTTCCGTTTAAGTTAACTCTAACTTAGGTAGTACCGTTAACCAAGCAAAACTGCAGTATTTGAGGCTTAGAAAACCCTCACCATCGAAAAGCCAATGCAATCTCAATGAGTGACTGCGTGATGCGGTATGTGGAATAGCGGTTAATGATCGTTCGTTTTCCTTCGAAAATAATTCGAAAATTGTTGCTGCCACTGACGTCTTCTGCATCGAAAATATTCAAATTTTGCAATATTCTTACAAATCTGGAAAACATAATCCAGGCATCCAATCGCTAAATTTGTTTCCCAAAAACTCCCAACTCCGACTTACCAGATGTTGTTATCATCCATAGCGAGTCGGGAATATGATGACTGGTTCTTTAATGACAGGAGATATTTCATCTTGGCCTACAAGACTCATAAGCTTTGCTCCATATTCCATATGGAGAAAGTCACCATATTTGAATGGCTCAGCCCGAAATCCATCAGCCATCGCCGCTTTGTTGTTTTTGAAGGGGAGACTGCTATTGAAACTTCTTCATTGTCGTCATTGATTGGATAATCGGGTATATCATAAAAATATCCTTATATAAATTCAGTATACTCTGGTCAAGAGCCGCTAGATCACCTTGGAACTTCATCATTTACGACATCGATTGGGTTAGAGGGTTCATATAAAGGAGCTCCTTCTATAAATTCAGTATACTCTGGACAAGAGCCGCTAGATCACCTCGCTGGTTCTTACTCCGGTCTTAAAAGTTTCTGTAAGTAGTCGTATCTTTTCGTAGAATTTTCGAGCATCACCTTTGTCGACCAGCTTTTCAAGTTCTGCATACTCATCAATATCGTGCTTTTTCATTTTGGTCAGCGCGTGCATCTTGGTTCCTCCCTCGGTAACTCTATCTCCACACACGTGCAGTATGACCAAGTTGCACTGCTACACACCTATTATGTCTCTAGCGTGAAGAACAATGTTGCCGTTCTGGCCCCTTGCACATTGCCGATTGAAGATTCGCTCTGTACCAAGTAAGCATAGCCTTTGTCTTTACCGAATGCCGTACACTCACAGAAGACAAGCTTCACTATCTCCACACATTCCTTAAATTTTCTGCAATTGTTGCTCCCAGTCAGACCTATTTGAAAAGCATGCGACGCCAAAGGTAACGTCCCGTTAATAGATCTATCAACAGCCTGGAGTCCGGCCTCTTTACAGATAGTACATACCAACCTCAGCTCATTCCCAGAGTCTATTCGCCAGACGAAGTAGTATTACTTCTTGCTTTTGCCTTACTTCCCTTAATGGAACCGGCAGGTTCATTACCGCATTCTATTCTAAATAGACACCTTCCTTAGTCAGTTCGTCAGCTATCTCGTTAACTTCAAAACCAAAGCTTCAGCCTACTTGGAACTTTCAAAGTAAAATACAGTTTTTAGATTTTTTTTTATATTTTTTTCGGTTTGTTGAAAATATTTTGTTTTTAGTTTTTATTGCGAAATTCTTATCGTTTTACGTAAAAATAGCTACACTATAGCATGTACAGTTAAATTAGTACATTTATATATATTAGTACTTTTATATGTATATTTTGTAAATTAATATACAATTAAAATTTTAAATGCTGCTTTTCGTTGCTTATTTCTTAACACCGTCACAAAAACAAACTCTTAAATTAATGCTAAATATTAAAAAAAGAATAAAAATAAAATAAAATAAAATGAAATAAAATAATAATTTTATTAGATAAATATGTAAGTAGTACTTCCGACTAGATGCTTTTTCAGGATTATTTACAATGAATTGCAATGAGCTTAGACTACATTTTTAATGTTTTTTTTTTTTTACATTTAACTAGGCATACATATACATGCATTTTTTAAGTGTTATTTTTTTTTAAATTATTTTTATATATTTTATTTTTAATTTTTTTTTTTCATTTTAGCTTACAAATACACATAATTTTTAGTTTTCTAAGAAACTTTTACAATTATATACATATGTATGTATGTGGTGGTGTATAAAGTCTGTTTGCTTATATATATTATACTGTAAATAGGTATTTCTTATTAAATAATTTTATAGCTGAGCTAAGTTTGAAGTCCGAAGTACAGTTTAAATATGCATTAGTAAGGGATGCTTCTTCCTATATTTTCGTAAGCAAAATAAACGTCGAACCCAGAAATGCCTAAATTTAATACAAGAAGGAGAAGGCTACCAACAACAACAGACAAACAAATTTTTGAGCATTAAGAAAAATATGGATTCAAGGAAAAAAAAATTACATAAAAAAATTTGGTTTTTCTCGTGTTCAATTAAAATCTAAAACATTGGGAATATTTTGTTTCCGAATCGTTGTCTTTGTTAAGCTAATGGCAAACTCGTATACGTATGTATTCACTTGAATGTATGTGTGTGCGTTAAAAGTTGTTGGCAGTAGTTGTTGAGCTTGTAGCGTTTCACTGATGATCATTTTTCTGAGAATTATGTTTATTATTGTTTTTTCTTCTTCTCTTCATCTTCTTCTTCCTCTACGATTCTCTACTGCAAAGATGTGGATCTCTTTTTATATCTCTCTCCGTAAAGCTAATTGCAAATCGTCCTTTATGTGCGTATAATAAAAGTCGTTAGCTTCATATGAAACATAACAGAACTTGTAGAAACAGTTCATTCCTCGGCTTGTACTATGCTTACAAGCTCAAATATGTAGCACTGTTGCATTTGTTGTTGGCGTCTCCTTAACGCTTGCCTGCGTCGCCGAATTGCTCGTTGTGGGCACAGTTACCGTCGCTGGCGTTGACTGTTGTTGATCCTTGCATTGGTCCAAATTGACAATAACACAATCGTAGGGTGGCGGCGGAATTTCATGCTTGACAACCGTTTCATAACTGGGCGGCAGTGTGTCCATAATGCGCAATATATCATTCTGTGTGTTGATCTGCATTAAATAAAGATAAAGAGAAACCAATTTTAGTTTAAACAAAATATGAGTAAAAATTTTCGGAAATTCAGTTTCAAAAATCAATTTCAACTCACATGCGGCATGCCGCGTCCATCCGTACGATTGCCCAGCTCGTCGATGGGTCCCGTCCAACAGCAGACACTCAGTCGATGTGTTACATAACCGATAATTATCATAATCACCATTAGCAGGCCCACACCCAATACGAATACCAACCATGGACTATTGGTCATATTTTGTAGATTCTTTTCCAATTGCAAGGCGAAAAGTATTAGCACAGGCACAGCTACCACGCCGACCAGTATATCGACAATATGACGACGATCGTTATTGCCATTCGCGAGATCGTTGCCGTTGCTATTGATCATGTTGCTCAGGCTGGTGGTGGAGCGCACCGTATTGATGCTGTGTGCGTGTAGAGCCATTCTGTAAGAAATACACAGAATTAAAGAATTAGTAAAATAAATAAAAATTAATGAAAAATTAATAAATAAAAATAATAATTAATAATAATCTTATTTTTGAAATTAATTTTTAAATTTAAATCAAACTTAAAATTAGACTCAAGCATATTTTGAAGCAATGTTGTGGCTGTTGACCACTTTTTGGCCTTTAATAATTAAATTTTGTTCATTTATTCACTATGAAATAACAAACATTCGAAATCATAGAAAAAATTTCTAAACGTGGTCGTCCCTCGGCAGGAAATATCAACCCCTGCGAGAGTATGTCTGACATTAAAATAAAAAGATCTTCATATGGGCTCAGAATAGGTCCTTACACCGCACCACATCAAAAGTTGAAGGAGTTGTTATGCCGAAAATAGCTTCAATGGCAGGACATTTATATATGTATGTATATTTATGCATAAATTAGGCGGCCCGAGTGCTGCTATTCGGAAGGCTATGGTTAGAGTACTGGTCCTAGCTGCATCCAAAACTGAAAATTAATATAATATAATAATTTAAATTAAAAAAAAAAAATAAAAGTTCCAATTCCGGTCGCCCCTCGGCAGGAAATGTCAACCCCTCCAAGTGTATTTATGATGTGAAATAAAAGCTCCTCATAAAAAACCATCAGCCGTTGAGAGGCGAATTAGTATAAACTTTAGGTCCCTCCTTTTGTTGAAAAAACATAAGGACACATACCAAAATTAGAGGAGGTGATCGGCCTTAAATTGCTTCAGCCGGCTCGGGAAAAGCTGAGCAGCCCACAGCCACATCTAGCTAGTAGAAGTCCTCAGCGTTAGTGCCGAGCTTGGAATAGTACTCAGAAACGATCATGGTGGTGTCTACCAAAAACTAGCTGCTTTTCAAGCTATTCTAGGGGAGAAGGATTTATGTTTACATGATACTGGTAGAGGTTCCCGGCTCAAAACTTCGGTACAGAAGAGAAGAAGGCTGTTGCCAGCTCTTACTGTGTTATCAACCAAAATATTTCCGTTGATTTTTTTTTTCTTTCTAGTACATGCTCGTCATTGAGAATCGGTAGCATGTAATGGGTTGTAGGGCGTGCGTCCGGGTATGTCCAATGTTTATAATCGCAGTGCCATACTACTTTCGCGTTAAGTTTGGGCATCATGTTAACGTGAGAAACCCCTGTTCAAAATGAAGTAATCAAAGAGCGAAATTACTTCCCTATAAATATACATATCTCAAAATAAAAGCTCTCAAGTAGTCAAGAGTGAGAGAGAATGAGAGATAGAGTGAGAGAGAGACAGAGAGAGACAGAGAGAGAAAGAAAGAGAAAGAGAGACAGAAAGAGAGAGAGACCGGGCATAGTCAAGAGATTAATATTAATAGTTTAGCAGTCTAAACTTCTACTTATCCCTGTACGATACAAACCACATCTTAGTGTGCTACCTTACACCGATTTATCTAATCCTCCACTCTATTTGATCCTATTGCACTGCAATAGCTCATTTTCGGGACCTTCCCTTCGATGACCTCGTTAATATAGATTACCATATACCTTGGAATAGAAGGCATAACTATTAAATGAGATTGGCAAGTCATCGTTACAACAATAACTACAGAACTGATTTTCATTCGTTTCTTCTTTTTGCTGTTTGGCGCCAATTGGAAATACCAAGTACAGCCAGGTCCTTCTCTACCTGGTCTCTTCCTCTGCTTCCACCGGCAGACACTCAAAAGTGTAACTTTGAACACAGCAACAAATACTGCCTTGCTTTAAGCTTCGCATTTCAGGAGAAAAGATTACGTTAAGCCAAGTATGAGCATGCTGAGATCTGTTTATCTCAGGACTTAGAGAATTGCCTTTAAATATTGTTTTTTTCTAGGGTGCTATAGTTTGGGTAACATCCGAAGCCGCCAAAGTTGTTCGATAAATTTATTGCCATAAACTTCAGCTTGTCACATACATACATATGTATATGTATGCATATATAATTCGTGTCTTATAACCACTGGCGTTTTCTGTCGAAACTCCGCATCTCCCTTGATGCTTCTTCGACAAATGGAGGCATCTTCAATTTATATTTAGTCGTCTTTGAATGGCTTCTGAATATTAATGGGAAGCATTAATTTTCATGCCAGAATTACACTCGAAGAAATTTCCCTGCTGAGGGTGGACTGAAATTAGAGCAAGGAAGAAGAATTGTCTGCGGCCACGTCGAGATCTTTATACGATTCAGAAATTTATCAAATTTGTTGCAAAACGATGGTTTTCAATTCCAATTTTATTTGTGTGCGGAATACCAAATTTCATGCTCTCAGCTACTCTTTTGACAGAGTTTTGATCGAAAATCTCATATCTACAAAAACCAGTTGTATGGGCCTATTTGATATAAATAGTTCTCCGATTTTTATGATTTTCCCAAAACAGTAAAATCAATCGGATATATGCCGAACTGGATGGTCCCGAAAAATTACTGTACCAGTTTGAAGCATTTCAAAAACTGACGGACTAGATTTACAAACATGCGGTCTGCCTAGATCAACTCCACTCGTCATTCTGATCAGCTAATATATAAAATTCTCGTGTTACAGTGTTAGACACTTCCCAAACGACTTGGCCGATTTTAATGAATTTGATGTGCATATCAATAGGCCTCAGAAAAACATAACATCAATTTTTCACACCGGGAAGAGGACCTGATCTATTCGAAAAATTTGGATGTACTTGGAATTTGATACGTAATAAGCCTTTTGCTGAGTTTAGCAGGGACATTACTTTTGTTTCCAGGAATAGTACCGAATACCAATCTAATCAAGAAAATCGTTTCTATGGTTTAAATTAATATATAAAAATTTTCGGAAATGGACCAAGGTTTACCGAGCAGATATTTGATTGGCTTGGTCCATTCCAAAACCCGATAGATGGTAATATTTGTTGGGAGCCACGCCTGTGCATATACGGGGTCTGTTTCCTTGTAATTACGTGCGTAAAAGCTGACTAATTCCAAAGCATGCGTAATGACAATTGTTCGTAAGGGCTGATTGAATTTTTCTTATCTGAAACCCTTTAGTTTAATTTAAGTCATTTTATGAGAATTATAAATATAAATATACTTTATTATCACTTTTAATGGAATATAAAGGCGTGTAATTAGGGCGAGGCGAAGTTCGCTGGTTCTACTACTGTCAGTATAAATATTGATGGGCCTATCTCATCTTCTTCTGGTACTTACATGCTTCGGACAAAAGTTAGTATTTAAATTAATTTTTCTAAAATTTTGGACTTTGCTTTGGCCAGGAATTGAAATAAGGACCTTCCGCATGGCTACTGCAAACCTCAATTGAGTATTCTTTTCCTGACCTTGCGAGGTTTCGCCTCAATTCAGGAATTATTTTTGATTACACTCCATAACACGAAAAATACCTACCAACCATCGATAATATTTTACAAATGAAAAAAAAAAAAAGTTTCGCTGAAGGAATCTTTAGGACTTTCAAAACGCCCGCAAGCAGCTGATGGGTTTTTAAGTGTACCTTTTGAATTCCATTCACAAATGCATTCGGTGGTAATGGCATTCCCTTAATTTCACTTTGCATTTGGAATTGACGTCAATCTTTAAAAATAAAGCTACACAAGAGTGTATTATGCAGATAAAAGTTCCGGCTAAAAAGAAGAGAACAAATGATCGCTTATAACATAGATACCGTCAATAAATCACGTTTTAATGCCTACAGCTGTCATAAACAGTTTGTTATCTAACAACATTATGACTACGCAGATTCTAATGAATGTTAAAAGTGCTAAAATTTTTAATGAAATGTGAGTTTAGTTTAAGTTTTTTTTTATTAATTCAATTGTATGGTGTGATTTTATTGCTTATTATTTGCACTTTTGCACTTTTGCACGTTGAATTCTTATTTTGCATTAAATATTTCTTTAATATGAGTAAATATTTATTTAACTATATATTTTTTGTATTAAATATTTTATTAATAAACAGCAAGTCACAAATAAGTATTGTGAATGGTCATTGGGCTTTATGTAAATATTTTATAAAACTTTTACACTTATAATTATCACGTTTTTCTGAAGAGGTTTGCTGTTGTTCTATGTCGTGATTAAGTTTAGTGAAACTTATTTTTTTTTTTTTAATTTTTTAACTTTTCCCTTCTTTGTATCATTTTTCTTTTTAAAAAAAACGTAAAGAAAGTGCATTTAAAACAATTTTTTCTATGAAATTTGTTTTTTAATATAAAGTTTAAACCATGCTGATACACTTCATCAACCAAACGACCGCCTTGCGAATTTTTACAAACTCCGTTCCGTTTGAGATAACTTTCGACCATTTTTTGGGCGCATATTGTGCGGTATCTCCGCCATTACTTGACGAATGTTGGTTTGCAAGTGCTCAAGAGCTAAAGGTTTGCCCCTATAAGCACGTAGCCCTACAAAAAAATTAAACGGGGCCAAATTGCATGATCTTCTCGGCGTCCAATTGACATCGCCAAAGCGAAAAATTTTGCAAACGGTAAATTTCTCTCGCAATGAAGCCATCTTCACTCATGTTATGCGGCGTGTGGTACCAAGTATTGTTCAAAATATAACCTTTTACTATTGAAACCACGAAATGGAAGATTCTATATTTTTCTTACAATAAATAGCCTTTCTTACACACAACTAATTACCCCCCACATTGAGTGTTTATCATTTGTTATTCTATTGTGCTAAACTTTGAATTTTATCTGTTAAAAACAAGCGAACAACAACATTAAAGTGTTTAAGCTTTTATTTGTATAAATCACTCGAATGTACTTAATGTTACTTATACGCCCTGGTGGGTTTATTTCCTATGATGAATTTGCAATTGTCACACATACATACATACGTGAACACTAACGTTTATACTTACAAGTGAATGCATAAGTTTTTTAGTGTAAAATTCTAACTTTAAATCTATTGTTTAATATCTTAACTGTTGATATTATTTGAAAAACAACTTGGCAAAATGT